AGGGTCTGTAAGTCTAGGTTCTCTGTTGTCCAGGGTCTGTAAGTCTAGGTTCTCTGTTGTCCAGGGTCTGTAAGTCTAGGTTCTATAAGTCTAGGGTCTGTAAGTCTAGAGTCTCTGTTGTCCTGGTTCTCTAAGTCCTGGGTCTTTGTCTGGTGGGTCTCAGACCTGTTCCAGGAGGTTCTTGTCAGGATACTGGCCTGAACAGGGGTGAGGTCACTTCCTGTTATTTATCTAAAATCTTCATTTCAAACAGGTTTTCAGTCTTGGTTCTTAAACAGGTCCAGGAGGAAAACCCAGACCTCCGTCTCCTCAGGTCCTCCTGAATCAGAACCGGGTCGTACTGGGTTCAGACTGACTGACTCAGAACAGGAAGTAGACTCTGTCCGGCTCCAGGAACTGTTCCTTTAACCTTTAAATAAAACGAAGCATGACTGGATCTAAAAATGGCCACAAGGAGACGAGTCTGAGCTCCAGTCTGATTGGCTCTGATGGACACACCTGATCAGGTGCAGCTAGTGATCAAACCCTTCATCACAACTTCTTTATAGAAAATTACAAAATAAAAGCGTCGGATGATGCAGCAACATGAACGTGCAAAAAAACAAACAGAGACGAGTCTTTGATTAAAGTGACGACTCAAATATTATGCATTAAAAACAGTTTGTAGATTACAGTGCACTTTGTGTGGAAACAAAATAAAATACAACAAAATAAAATAAAGGAGCACAAACACACGTTAAGATGAAGGCAACAGCAGCCATCTGAGAGGAACCAGACTGAGACGGAACCAAAAGAGAGAAAACAAATATATACACAGATATTTACACCACACAGGTACGAAACGACCCGCCTCAGTCCACGGGCCTGACAGGAAGCCGTCACGGCGCAGAATAAATAGGAAGCGTCCTACCTGCCGGACGCCTGCAGGTCTGAAATAAATAAACCTGCTGCTCCTGTGGTGATAATCTACAGATTATATTTTATTTAATCCACAGTTTTATTCTCTGGACCAAAAATAATTAAGACTTATTTCCATAAAAGTTTTAAAGAACTTCAGATTTCTTTCACGTATTTCACTATTTGTAATATTTTAGGGGCGGGGCTTCGTGGCGATCACAGATCATCACCTCTCTGGACCCCTCATCTGTCTGCAGGAAGTCCTCCCCCCTCCTGTGACCTCTGACCTTCTCTCTGAAGAAAAGCCCCGCCCACTTTACACAAAACCTATTTAATGAAATATTTGCAACATTTAAAGGTTTAAAACCCTGAAAATGATTTAGATTCTGAAGTTCTTTGAGACGTTTATAAAAACAAATCAAATCTAAATGAAACTTGATTTGTTTTCAGTTTTGTTTTGTTTGTTTGTTTGTTCCTCGGGGCTGACGTGAGCAGGAACAAGGATCAAACTGCTTCCTGTCAGAAACCAACACGATGTGGACCTGCAGGTTCTGATGTGAGTCGGGTCACATCACTCAGAGGGAATGTAGCAAAAACCAGTCCTTCCTGAATATTTACATGAGTTCTGTCCCGTCTGGGGGGCGGGGCGAGGGGGCGGGGCTTAGTTGGCCAGATAAAACGAACGAAAACGTTTGGCAAAAAGTCAGTTTCTTGTTCTGAGGATATGAAAATATACAACTCTCAGCTGCAGACGGGTCACAGGTTCCAGTCCCTCACTGGTTGTCCTCTTCAGGAGACGTGGCCTGGGTTCCTGCTGGGTCTCAGAACCTGGTCCAGGAGGTAGAACCTACCAGGACGGTTCCTGCAGAGCTTCACTGGCAGTTATAGAAAACATGCGAAAGTTCTATGAAAGCATCCGAGTCTGGAAAAATATGTTAATTCATAAAAATCTTTTCTGTTTCTGTTGGTTTTCTGGGTTTTTCTGAGGGACAGACCTGAAAAACTGAACGGGGTTCTGGTTCGGGTTCTGGTTCAGCTCGTCTGTTCAGGGAGCTACACGGTGGGTCCTGATAAAAACACAGCCAGAGTCTGGAGGAGCAACCAGGAAGTGACGAGGTGCTGGCTCCTCCCACCTCATCCACACAGGAAGTGATGAGGCGTTGGCTCCTCCCACCTCATCCACACAGGAAGTGATGAGGCATTGGCTCCTCCCACCTCATCCACACAGGAAGTGATGAGGCGTTGGCTCCTCCCACCTCATCCACACAGGAAGTGATGAGGCGTTGGCTCCTCCCACCTCATCCACAGAGCAGGAACCTTCGAAGCACGTTGGGACAGCGGGGAGATGGACGGACAAAGATCAAAGATGGCTCCCGACACGACACATCTTTATTGTCCGTAAAAATAGGCTCCGCCCAGGAAGGCGGAGCAGTGGTGAGGTCCATAGTGCCACTGACTCCGCCTCCCTGATGATGAAAGCTCCTCCTCCTCACGGTGAATTTCAAGTGTAAAGATGGCGTTGATGGTGGCGACATTGTGTGTGTGTGTGTGTGTGTGTGTGTGTGTGTGTGTGTGTGTGTGTGTGTGTGTGTGTGTG